TACAGTTTAATTACCTGTGGACTTTACGAGAAGAACCAGAATAGAGCACTTGAAGAGAAAACTCTGCAAGTCTCAGTTCTGGTGATACTGACCCCTTTGCTGGCACAACCTTCCTACCGAAAGCTCTTTTAAACTGCAGAAAACCAAGACAACTGCAATGTGATTATCAGGGCTAACAAACAAAAGTAAACGGATTATGGAAGAGAGTCAAGTTGTGGCGGGGCAGAGGTTTGGAGGCCAAGGAATTTTCAGGTTTTCCTCTTTTTGGAAGTGCTCGCTGGGAAAGCCTAACTGCAGAGGGGTGTAGTGAGGGATGTTCGGGTCTCAAACACTCAGGCTTTTCTTTGTGGTCACAGGTGCTAAGAAAGGAAGCAAAGGCAGAACAAGGTGAAGGTGTAGGGAAAGGACCTTTCATTCTGCAAGTGACACTGTACAAGACCAGCTTAGCGACATGTACGGGGTTCACCCAAACAATAGAGGTGAGCTGGAAAGAAATGAACTGAGATTTGAGCTATCATTCTTAGTAGATGAGATAGGATTCACAGTTAGAATCTAATTAGTTTAAATGCTTGCTAAGAGGAAAAATAAGAACATTTTCCTGAGAACTATAGCGGAACCCAGTATAATAGAAACCAAAGGGAGAGGTGGTAGAAGTAGGTAAGTTAACATGCAGAGGGTGATCAAAATACATGATTAACGTTTAAAGAAAAAAATCATGATCCAATTAATTCCCTTCTAAATACTCCTCACTTTTGAGAGAGAGGAAGTCTCACTCTGTAGTTCAGGTTGGCCTTCAACTCATTATGTAGCCCAGGCTGGCCTGGAACTCACGGTGATCTTCCTGCCTCAGCTTCCTGGATGCTGGGATTGCAGGTGTGCACTATCGTGTCCAGTTACACCTCACATTAGACACACTTCACTCCTATCACTCGTGCCATTTTCTGAAGCCATTCTGGAAGTCCTCCTCTTTCAAGTGTCTTTAAGATGTGTGATTTAAAATACATGGAGAGTGCTGCTGCCCAGGGCTGTCCAAAAGAACAGTTGGCTCCTAAATCATGTCCTCCTCCCCCTTATTCACTGGGTGTGGTGCTGTGCAACTCCACTCACCCCTAAAGTGAAAATGACCATGAAAAGACATCAAGGCTCAGGAATCTGTTCAGGACATTAGGACAGCTACAGCAGAGGATCGAAGATGTCCAAGGAAAGACTTCTGGAGCGCTGCAGAAGGTGGAGCGCTCAATAGGCTAAGTGTGGTCAAAGGCAGGGACAGTGTTGTGAGTGGGGTTGATGGCCTCGTGTGTTTTACTTCAAGACAAGTTTTGAAAACAGGTGAAACACTCACCGTGTTTTGCAGGTGCACTTCATATTTTATACAGCGCAGACACTCATCTGTCCTTTCCTGCCTGTCGGCCTTGAAGCTCCAGAGCCTTTCAGACTTTTGGCCTCAGACTGAGAGTTCTACTGTGGACTACCAGAGTTTTCAGGTCTTTGGGCTTGGACTAAATTATACCACTGATCTGCGTGGTGCTCCATCTTGCAGGTAGTGTACAGGACATCTTCCTGATCTTCATAACTGCACCAGCCAATTCTCATAATAAATCCCTGTATATATTTTCTATTGCTTCTGTTTCTCAGTAGAACCTAGTAATCAACACAAGTCATGTATAGATAGTAAAAGGAAAATGAGAAAATATTAGAAACTTTTCAATGTGAACAAATTTGACAACTGGATGTGTAGAAAATTATTGTATTCAAACTGGGCCCCAATAGAACGCCCCAGAAGAATCTCAAATAAATTGAACTTAAAATTAAAACATTCCAAACTTAAAATTAAGACATTCCAAACTTAAAATTAAGACATTCCTTAACAAAGAACTGCAGGCTCCTAAAATATTATAAATATTTTCTTTCAAACATTTAAGTCACATTACCAGATTTATACATATTTCTTTAGGAAAATGCAGATATCCAAATAAGATATACAATTTGATAAAAACACAAGAAAAATATGATAAAAATCTTTAGCTTTTGGAATTTTTTTTTTAATTTAGTGCAGGGTCTACAGAATCTTACTACACAGATCAGACTTGTAGAGAGTCTCCTGTTTTCAACTTCCCAAGCACTGGGATTACTGGTATATACCACCATGCCCCGTATCAATCTCCATCTCACTGTATCCCAGGGACAGGCCCAGCAAGGCAGGCTGAGGAT